ACAGATTCAGATTTTGCCGGTTTTCTGGATGATAGAAAGTTGACATTTGGTTATATTTTTATGCTAGCTGGAGGTGCTATTTCTTGGAAGAGCACTAAACAGTAACTTACAACTTTGTCAACTATGCTTCGGGTCATGAGTACTATTTCTAAGCCATTGAAAATTTTTTGTGACAACTCTATAGTTGTCTTCTTCTCTAGAAACAACAAGAGTTTGGATGCGTCCAAGCACATGGACATAAAGTTTCTTGTTGTGAGAGAGAAGGTTAGGGAACAAGAGATTGTTGTAGATCATATTAGCTCTATAATTATGATAACTGATCTGAACCAATGCTCTTAATGTAAAATTGTTCATGGAACATGTAACCCGTATGGGTGTTGTAGAATCATTTGATTCACATGGTTAGTGGGAGTATCTTTTGTTTGCATAAAGACAATTGTTGTTCCCTTATAATATAATTTTTGTTTCATTTGTTCTACATCAAATTATCTACTCTTCCACTATAAAGATTCTTGTGGGTTGTGAATAGCAGAAATCTAAGGGACCATACAGGCGAAAGAAATGTGATTGATCACCACATCATACGGATCATTCCACATTTAGGTCATGGACTATGGAGGATGTGGATGTCAATACAATGACCATGAAACGACATTACATTGTTAGTGAGATATAATGATCTTTGTGATCTTGTATTGACGGTCTCATCTGTCTCGGTTCGGTTTAATATTAAGAATGTCGTAATAATAATAATAATAATAAAAATAATAATAATAATATCATGAAATAATGCACTAATTCATAAATCTTTTCAAGACCAAGTTGGAGATTGTTAGAATAATTCTTTTGTTTTAATGGTCTTGCAAAGAAACGTTCAAAACGTTTATTCTTTTGTTTTAATGGGCTTGCAATGGACCACTTAATTCCAATACGTTCACAGGGCACTCAAAGCCATGAACGTGTTACCTTGATGGGAAGGTAACCGTTCCTTGAGATGACTATAAAAGGGAGGGTCCCCAACCTCGTGCAATCTATCCCAATCCGTAGAGAGGCTCTCCCATCAAGTAGATAGTTGAAACGGGGTTGAAGTGATCTCTCAAATAGTTGGATCAACTATGGCTTCTTCAAGATCACCGGTTTCAGGTAAGGATTATTTTTCGTTATCTCAAGAGCAAAGGTTGATATTAGTTTAACAAGACCTAGATATGTTTCTTCTTCCTCGTAGACTAGTCGGAAAATGCAACCACTTCCTTGTCGGCTTGTCCAAGCCCCAAAAGAAAAAGCTCACCTGTCGTCTCTCCACCATTATAAATGTCGTCAATGAGCGTAAGCTTCCTCTTGAACTCTGTTGCCGAGAGAACAAATCTACATCATTGTTTCTGAAAGAATGGTAAGATCCATCATATGGACGCCAAAAGGTTGTGGAATGGGTGGGCAAATTTCAAAAATTTCTTTCCATTCTTCTAACTGGGAATCATATTCCCTCAATTTAGAATACAGTATGCAAGGATCTAACTTGAATAAAAACCGAACCAGATCTGAACCACAAGAGAAGGGAAGAGATATACCAGATTCGGAGAAGTAGTATCTCCCAACGTTGGTGTTCACACCCAAATAAAATCCCAAGAACTGCTCCCATTGAAGATGACACAACGATGATGGAGCAGAACCAGTAGTGTTCATCCCACGAACCAGGTTCTTCTGAAGAACTTGATGGAAGTAGAGAGCACCACACAAAATCAAGAACTTTTCTTGATCTTCCCTCACAGAGAACTCAAACTTGCAGTAGATGACAGCGGCTGTTGGAGGAGAAGGCTAGAGAAGAAGATGTCGAACTCCTTTCTCTTTTCTAGGGTTTCTAAGATCCTATCTCAAGAATGCAGAGTAATCTGCGAAAACCCTTTGGATCGAATTCTTGTAATTCGAATTGGGTTTTCTCCTCATTTCTTTGTGATTAAGAAACCTCCTAATCTCATTAGGAGTTATCCTAATCCAAATCTATATTTGGATAATGAGTCTTCTTAATCCTATCTGCAGATTAGATCAACCCACTCCTGATCTTATCAGGAGATTACCAGATTCAAATCCTATTTGAATTTAGTCTCCATGAGTAGATAGGGTTAAGACCCAATCCTTTTTGGCTTAACCTAATCTCAGATCCGCCCTTTTAAGTGACTGATCAAATCAGCCAAGTTCGAAATGGGCTTTAGGCCCAATATGTATTAAGTGCTCAATAGGCTTCCAAACTGCTACCCAGTTGTGCTTCTTTGTATGGCGTGGGACTCAAGCATTGATCTACACATCAACCACATGGGTTCGGCCCAGCCTTTATTAGAAGGCCTAGCCGAATTCACTGGAAAGCCTAGTGAACCCCTTGAGCCCATTACATGGACTCTATGGGCCCAACACCTACACTAAGTGGTCCCTGGGTCAAGCCATCTTATAAAAACACAGGGACTGTGGGCAGATGCAAGATTAACCCATCAGGTATAACCCTAAATGGCCTTACACTCAACCTCTCAGCCCATAATGATCAAACACTGCCCGACAAGAGAAGACCTCTCCCTCGGCTGCAAGGAACAGTGTCGCACTCTCTGCTCATATGGATCCCGGGAATTAAAACCATTTGCA